AAACACACATAGCATCTATCTCAATTATGAACTCCTTAATGTAGTAAGGTAAGGCCAACACTGGTGTAGAAGACATAGCTTTCTTGAGGGCTGTAAAGGCCAGATCAGCTTCATCATTCCATTTAAAAGCATCCTTTTTGAGTGAAATAATTTAAGGGTCTACAAATGACTCCATAGTTAGCAACATACTTTCTATAGTATCCAATCAATCCCAAGAATCCCCTAAGTGCCCTCAATGAGTTTGGTCTTGGCCAGTAGACCATAGCTTGTATTTTAGATGGATCATTAGACACTCCTTCTGCAGTTATGATATGTCCTAAGTACTCAACTTTAGACTGGCCAAATGAGCATTTAGACTTTTTAGCAAATAAGGAATGTTTCCTGAGTGTATCAAAGACAACAATTAGATGAGTCACATGATCTCTTTCAGATAAACTATAAATAAGGATATCGTCAAAGAAGACCAATACAAACTTTTGAAGGAAAGGTTGAAAAACCTGGTTCATCAAAGCTTGAAAGGTAGCTGGTGCATTTGTTAATCCAAATGGCATCACCTTGAAATCATAATGGCCTAAATGATTTCTGAATGTTGTCTTATATACATCTTCTAACCTCATTCTGATCTGGTGATAACCAACTCTCAAATCTACCTTGGAAAAGATCACAGATCCACTTAGTTTATCTAAGAGGTCATACACAATAGGTATAGGATACTTGTCCTTTACTGTGATGCCATTCAGCCCTCTATAATCTACACAGAACCTCCGAGTCCCATCCTTCTTTTTGACAAGCAATGCTAGTGATGAGAAGGGTGATTGAATATGTTGTATTATGCCATTAGTGAGCATCTCTTTAACCTGTCTTTCCAACTCATCCTTCAGATAGTAATTGTACCTGTAAGGCCTCAGGTTGACTGGCATGGCTCCAGGTTTCAGAGGAATGGTGTGATCTAAGGTCCTGACATGGAGTAAAGACTTGGGTTCTTCAAACACATCAGGGTATTGATGCAACACCTCCTTAATGGCCTCTCCTACTGGCTCCTGATCTTCTGTCCCAAAGGAATTCATCATGAACAGATGAGCTATCAAAGCTTGCCCTTTCTTTAAGATCTTTCCCATTGTTCCACTGGAAATCATATTCAACTTACCTTCTTCAAAGATACCTTGATATACTAGTTTGTTGCCCTTTTTGCCAATGGTAACACACATTTTCTCATGGTCAAACTTAGTGGGATTATGCTTCTTCATCCAATCATTGACCATCACCATGTCACAGCCTCCAAGTGGAATGATTAGTATGTTTTCCTGGAAGGGTCTACCTTGCATTTTCTACTGATATCCTGTGCAAATGGAAGTGCATATGACATAATTCCCATCAGCCACTGTTACTCTCACTGGTGGACAAGGCCTAGCGTAGTAGCCTGTCTCTTTGACTGTAGTAATATCAATGAAACTATGAGTAATGTCATAATCAATTAGCACTGTTAGTTTTCTGTTTCCTATGGTACCTCGAACCAATTGGTATTGACTCCCCTGTTGTCACCTAATAGGGCATTCATGCATACAGGTTCCATTACTTCCTGCTCCAGTTCTCCTTCAATAATCAAATCTGCACATGGTTGTTTCTCTTCTATCTCATTATTCTCGGGAAGGTTTTCTATTGCTCCTATCATGCAATTCAGTTGCTTCTTCTTACACTGATGGCCTGGAGTATACTTCTCACCACACTTATAACATAAGTGGTTGCTCTTCCTATATTCATAAACTTCAGGATTAAGCCTGAAGGAGTTTGGTTTAACTGCAGCTGCAGCAGGTACCCTTGTACTAGCAGAATTGCCAGCCACAAAGGAGGGCTTGGATATGACTTTAGTTCTCTTGTGAGCAGCTTCTATTGCCTTCTCCTGCAGTCTAGCTTGTTCTACAGCAAATCGCAGAGTTGTAGGTTTAAACAACTTCACCCCAAACCTAATCTCTTCCTTTAGTCCAATGAAACTGGAGATGAAGTGTGATTCATCCAAGTGAGGATTCCTTATAAACATTTGAACCTTCAAGTCTTCAAACTTGCCTAGGAATCCATCAACCGACCCTACTTGACTCAACTTGTTAAACTCCTCCACTATGTCTCCCATTAGTTCCTCCCCAAATCAAATAAGCAACTCTTCTTTGAATTCAGTCCATCTTACTTCACCTCTTCTTAGCACTAATGAGTCGTACCAAGTATCAGCTAATCCATTCAGATAGAGTGTAGCAGCTTCTACTTTCAGATTCTCTGGGTCCTATACAGATTGAAGTACCTTTCACACTTTTGAACCCACACCTTAGGTTCATGACCTTCAAAGTAAGGCAGTTCCCACTTAGAAGAAGGGGCATGCACAGCTTGAGGCATGTGTTTTCTCAATTCCTGACCTGATATGGGCAAGAGCCTATCTCCTTGAGGTCTGTCACCTTGAGCTCGTTGGGGAACTCTTTCTAAATTTGTCAACCTCTCTAAGATTAGCTCTAAGGTACCCTGTATCCCAGTTTGAGTGTTGCGTAATTTCTCTTGAGTGGTCAGAACTTCATTCAAAATCTCATCGTGTCTTACCAGCTTATCATCCATAACTTTCAGCCTCGTTCTTTCAACCATCACCACCTTCACAGTCGCAGAATCGAGGCTCTGATACCAATTGTAATGTACTCGATATGAACTAAAATGATTAAACAACTAGTTTGCAAAATTGAGAGAATTTTTAGGACAATGTTCTGTTTATATTTATGAAAAGAAGAAGTTGAACTACAAAACAACTGAAAATAACTATCTTCTAAATTGGAACTCCGTAGCCGATGAGATCTGCAGAATGAAGGAGGAAGAGGAAGTTAAAAGGGAATCGTGAGAGAGAAGAGATCAAGTGCAGAAAAGAGAAGAGAGAAATGACCTGATGTTTGCTGCCTTCTCTTTCCGTTGAAGGTGGTTATAACAACCTCAAGCTGACGTGGCTTCATCCTGGTTATTGCAGCTCATTAACTCTAATTTAATCTCAGTCGTTCATTTGAATTTCTGTTAACTCCCTTTCACAATTTCTGTTACAGCTGATCTTCAGCTTCTCACTTCGAACCCAGCTAACAGCATTGATTTTGTGGTGATTAATGGATCATTACACTGCACCGACGCCTGGTTACTACACATATGGTTTTGGATATGATGAGCTTAATATTATAAGGTAGTGAGTATTTTTTATAGTACCGATGGTCGCTATGATGTAATGGTCAACATATATAGTTTAAATAGTGATTCTTGGAGAGGAATTGACGATTTCCCCGCTGCGGTGTTATTGGATTCAGCTAAGTCCGTGAATGGGAAGCTTCATTGGATTAATACTGCTAGTCGTCCTAGGTGTAATGATGGGATCATCATTTCTATTGATTTGGCTGATGAGAAATGGGGAACTGGAGCAGCCCTGCTATGGAGAAGGAGATTTTCTTTTGTTGGTGGGAGTTTTGGGAAGTGATCTTTCCATGTTTTATGATTATAACTACAGAAACTGCATAGATGTGTGGGTTATGAAAGAATATGGTGTCAAAGAGTCTTGGACAAGAATATATATATATACCATCGAACTTCCTCCTGATGTCACGAACTCTGTTCCTTCTCCACCCCTTTGCATGTCAAATAAAGGTGAAATTGTTTTTGTGTTTGGATCAACTTTCATGATAGACAATTCAAAGGATGGCTTGATCAGATATCCAGAGGTTGCTAACTTTCGTTTTTGTATTGCGGGGATCGTCTACATTGAAAGCCTAGTTTGTCCAACTTTACCATGAAGGCTGCAAGCACTCACGTGAATGACAATTATGTTGCTAATGACTTGTAAGAGTTCCACTCCTCTACATTTTTCGCAAGTGTTGTTAAATATTGTTTTTTTTTTTCCACATTTTGAACAAGACAATGCATGTATAAAATGACATCTTGGTACCATATTCCTCGTGGATCTTGATTCCCCTTTTGCAGTATTTAAATGAAACAGTATTATTTTGGAAGAAGAGTTAATTATGTTGTATAGCTTGGTGTCTTGGACTTAAGTTAAGATGGTTCTTGACGTTGTTGCTCTTCTTGAGCTGTGTTTTAAGAAATAATTTGTGCCATTGCGAGGGTTATCATTTGACCTAGGGGCTTCTTTAACTAGTTTTCTTTAGGTGAAGACTTGCTAGGGGAGAAGGAGGTCAGGAGGATACTCAGGAATTATGGTGCAAGGGTTATTAAGTTCTGATATGGTATCCAATTTTGGTTGCTGCTCATAGAAAACTACTTTATTTCTTCAAGGAGATCTGTATGCTATATTTTTGTAGATGTCTTGTTAGTTTGGCCTTTATATTATGTAGTATTTGCATGAAACATTCATTTTCCAGTTGGATAACTATTAGGTGCTAAATGCCTTCATTGTTTGTTGTCTTAAACAGCAGCTTAAACAAGCTGTTGTCACTTTAGACAGCATAAGCCAGAAATGCGCTGGGGCATGGAAGTTGTGGCGAGTGAATGCCCAAAGAGGTGCTTTAATCAAATTTGTCTAATCTCCTTAAGGGTGGAATTTTATCAGGACCAAAAAAGAAGTTGAAACAACAAAAAAAAAAAAAAAAAAAGCACGAACAAGTGATAGAGAATTTCAGATTGAGACAACAAATCTACTTGCAATGATTATGATAGTGAAGTAGTGCTACGTAACATAGGGGAGTTCTAAGGAGACCCTTGTTTAAGAGCGTCCTATCCATTTAACAATATGAAAACAATTTTCCGTATTTTTGCCTTGAAGGTTTGTCCTTGGGTAAGATGACCATAAAATTAAAACAATACATTCTCAAGGTCATTAGGGAGCACTTGGTCACCTTCCGGAGTTCGGTGGCCGAGACTCAGATTGATTATTTACTCTGCATGAAATCCAATAGAGGTCTTTGCACAAATTGCAAGGTCATACCAAGTGAGAACCTCTCAACCCTTCATAGGCTCCTGGTCATGACCTTGAGATCATGAGAAAGAGGAGGAAGAGGGAGATGTATAGACAACATAGGTTCAAGTGGGGAGCCTTGATGGAAGCTAAAGTACAAGAGTTGGGGGTCAAGCTGGTGACTATGGAGGCTTGGAGGAGCAGTGGGGACGCAAGCGCTATGTTGACCACGACTACGCGGTGCATTAGGGAAGTCGCGGGTGAGGTATTAGGGATCTTAAAGGGTTACTCTGGTAGTCACAAGGGAGATTGGTGGTGGAATAGAGAGGTACAAGGAAAAGTGGAAACCAAGAAAGCAGCGTATCTGAAGCTAGTGGAAATTGTAGACGAGGAGGAGAAGAGGGCTAATAGGGAGCATTATAAGTTGGCTAAGAAAGAGGCAAAACTAGCAGTTACGGCGGCCAAGAATGCAGCTTTTAGTCGTTTGTATGAGGAACTCGAGGGCCGAGGTGGGGATAAGAGGTTATTCAGGTTAGCCAAGGCGCGAGAAAGAAAGGCGCGTGACTTGGACCAAGTGAAGTGCATCAAGGACGAAGAAGGTAGAGTTTTGTTAGACGAGGGGCTTATACTTCCATAGTCTCTTGAACGAGGAGGGGGACAGGAGCATCGTTCTGGGTGATTTGGAACTCTCTGGGAGTCGTTGTGACTTTGGGTATTGTAGGCGGACTAGAGTTGATGAAGTTGAGGGGGTTATGTGTAAGATGAGTAGAGGCAAAGCGACCGGGCCGGATAAAATCCAGTGTAGTTTTGGAAGAGTGCGGGCAAGGCAGGCTTGGAGTGGCACACTAGGTTATTTAATGTCATTTTTAGAATGAAGAAGATGACCGAAGAGTGGAGGTGGAGAACGATGATTCCTGTATACAAGAACAAGGGTGATAGCCAAAATTGTAATAACTATCAGGATATCAAGCTGCTTAGCCATACTATGAAAGTTTGGGAGAGAGTGGTAGAGCTTAGGGTGAGGAAGATGGTATCTATTTTGAGAACCAGTTTGGGTTTACGCAGGGACGTTCGACTACAGAAGCTATCCACCTTGTTAGGACATTGATGGAGCAGTATAGGGAGAGAAAGAATGACTTACATATGGTGTTGATCGACTTAGAAAAGGCGTACGACAAAGTTCCGAGGGAGGTTTTGCAGAGATGTTTGGAGGCTAGATGTGTACCAGTTGCATATGTTAGGGTGATTAAGGACATGTATGATGGAGTAAAGACCCGAGTGAGGACGGCGGGTGGGGACTCGGACTATTTTCCGATTATGATGGGGTTGCATCAGGGGTCGACACCCAGCCTCTTTTTGTTTGCTCTGGTGATGGACGTACTGACGTGCCACATCCAAGGGAAGGTGTCGTGGTGCATGCTATTTGCAGATGATATTGTACTGATTGACGAGACGCGAAACGGTGTGAACCCGAAATTACAGGTATGGAGGCAGACCCCGGAATCTAAAGGTTTTAAGTTGAGCAGGTCCAAGACAGAATACTTGGAGTGTAAGTTCAGTGGCGAGACTCAAGGGGGGAAGGGGAGGTGAGGCTTGACTCGCAGGTCATCCCTAGGAAAGGGAGTTTTAAGTACCTTAGGTCTATTATTCAGGGGGATGGGGAGATTAATGAAGATGTCACATATCGTATTGGGGCAGGATGGATGAATAGAGATTCGCTTCCGGTGTTTTATGTGACAAAAAGGTGCCACCGAAACTTAAGGGTAAGTTTTACAGAGTGGTGGTTAGACCAACGTTGTTGTATGGGACTGAGTGTTGGCCAGTCAAGATCGCTCATGTCCAGAAGATGAAGGTAGAAGAGATGAGGATATTGAGATGGATGTGCGGGCATACCAGATTAGATAGGATCAGAAATGAGGTTATTCGCGACAAGGTGGGTATGGCTCCTATTGAGGACAAGATGCGGGAAGCGCAAGTTAGGTGGTTTGGTCATGTAAGGAGGAGGAGGAGCACAGACGCCATGGTGAGGAGGTGTGAGAGGTTGACATTGGAGGACCTACGGAGAGGTAGAGGTAGGCCAAAGAAAAGGTGAGGAGAGGTGATTAGGCAAGACATGACGCAGCTTCAGCTGACTGAGGACATGACCCTTGATAGGAAGGTATGGAGGTCGAGGATTAAGGTAGTAGAGTAGGTAGTCTAGAGTGTTCATAACAGTAGTATTGGCACACAGTCTCGCTTTCTGTGGGCAGTAGGTTTTTATAACTAATTGTTGTTTCTTTCATTATGGATTACCTTATTACCTTGTTGTTTTTATTCTACTTTTATATGGCTTTTTGGTATTGTCCCTTCTTGTCTATATTTTTATTAATGTGGTGCTTGTGCTTTCCTGAGCCCAGGGTCTATTGGAAACAGTCTCTCTATCCTCACAAGGTAGGGGTAATGTCTGCATACACACTACCCTTTCCAGATCCACGGTGTGGGATAAAGATTGGGTATGTTGTTATTGTTGTATTCCCAAGGTCATTGGATGTAATTTCCTGTTCTGCGTCGTTCAATAAGATATCTACTACTCAGTCCGTGGAAAGAATGAATACGAGAGAAATAATTTAGATTCTATGAGATATTTGTATGGGTCAAAATCTGACCCTGATGACTGGAGACGGTAAGAGTTCGACCCCGTCATGGTCGTGCCCACGAGGCATAATGGCGACTGGCCCCACGGTCCCTGCAGGTGTCAGGCCGTTGGAAAGCTTATATCGCAGAACAACCGTGCTGTCTTGGGCAAGTAATAAATGACTGTCATGGGAAAGCGCGCCGGTCAAAGACCATTGGATAAAAGGGAACATTGTCAATATATAGGGGGACAGGAAACCATCAGGGAAGAGGTCTGGCTATCACATGGAGGAGCAATATTACGAAACCGTGAGGGGAAGATTTCTTAGCTATCGACAACTTCCTTTTCTTCTTTTATGCTCTTTCGTCTGTAGTACAAGCATGTCACAGATGTAAGCTTACTATTCCCACTTGATGTATGATAGCTCTTAAGAAATATTAAATCAGTTTGTTCTTCTCCAATTTTTATACTCAATATGTTGCGATCTAGAGTTAATTACGTTTGGCTAAGATTTACCTTCTATCTCTCTATTAATTAGTTTAACTAGATGGTTTAACGACTTTTTGGTTAATCAATATTGAATCGGGAAAAAGAATTAGACATTGAATTTAATTTTTATGGAAAAAATTGTTTTCCTTGAACCCGCAAATAAAATCGCAGTACAAAGTGTTCGAACTAAGCTTTTATAAATTTATTTTGTTTTTCAAAATTGTAGACATTTGTTGATCGATATTATGATTTGATATTTTTGTTTTTAATGGTATATTTTAACTTCCGATTACCAATTACAGTTTTTTGTAAGAGTATTGTCCCCCGATTAATCTTAGTCTACTCTACTATTTTAGAAATTTTCTTGTACTATACCATTATGCATGTTAGATTAGTTTTCTTAAATTCCATTTTTAGATCTTGGACAAAACAAAATTAGCGCAGAAGTAAGGAGTAAAAATTATCTCAGAATCGAATTAAATGGAATACTAAATAAATTTTAAGCTCGTACACGAATGATCTTGAAACTTGCAATCTCTGTTTTAAAAGGCAGAACTGGGACTCGCCCGGGACTCGCCTCGAGGCGGAGCACTTGTAAAACGCCCCTGGGCTTATGTGTGGGGCTTAGTTCCGTGAGACTTACGCCTCGGCCATCGGGGCTTACGCCCCTGACACGCCCAACGCCCAACGTACTGGGCTCGCCTAATAGAACTTTATGTAATTGTATGTAACTAACCTTATAAATCCTCAAATTTTCTTAATAAATTGTTGACTATTCAAAATTACTTTTTTCTTAATCATAAATCATTAAGTTGAGAGTATTTTATGTCATAATTAAAATAAAAATTATTGCACGTTATCCACTAAGACTGCTATGATAGTTAATTTTAAATAAATCTTTCATTTAAAAAGTATTTATTTATTAACTTTTGTTATGTCTTTTAATATGTAATAGTCCATAATTTTTTTTATAATCTTTTTCCTAAATATTATTTTTCACGTTTACGAGATATAATACTTATTAATTTAATAGCTCAGTATTAGCTAGTAACTATTTACAAATAATTAGTTATCATGGTATTGTATGGTAAATTATGTGTCACTTTATTAACTTGTTGAAACTTAAAAATAAATCATGCAAGAGAATCATATTTAAATTGTGAATTATATTTTTATATAAATTCTCTTTCAAATAAAAAATATATTAAATAAAAGGAGTATTTTAAGAAAAATATCAAATTATAGTATCAAAATTCTTTCAAGATTCATTACTCCTTAAGAGATACATATAAGATTTCGTATGAATGCGTTACTTTTGATGTTTGAGTTGTAACGACATTGTAGCTAATTTGTATATTATGATATATGTCATACTTTTCGTTATTCATAGTTGAATTATAATTTATAAATATTTTAAATAGATTATTTGTTATAATTTTGTGATTTAAAGGTTAATTTTTATAATTATTTTTTATTTTATACTATCTTAAAATTCTTGAAATTAGTAAAATTTAAAGATCTGTGGGACTTACACCCCATGTCCAGGGTTACGCCTCGCCTCGACTCGTCAGAGGTAAAATGCCTCGCCTCACGCCCCCGCCTTTTAAAACATTGCTTGCAATATTGTAATGGTTACACAAACAAGTAGCATTAGCATTAAAAGAAGATAATTTTCTGGACTAAACATACATATAAAACTCCAAGATATAGTATCGTGAATCTAACTAGATTACTTGTTTATCTGTTGGTGCAAACATGTCTCAAATTTCCCTAGTTAGCTTTTGTTCTCACAATTTAATCTTACACACAAAATAATGGCAGAAGCAATTCAGTATTAATTTCGAAACAGTTCCTATTCCACATCGCCGAATCAACATAACAATCTGCTCCTTATAGTAGCTTTTGTAGAGGACTCTAATCGCCGAGCTCAGTAACGAGAGCATGTAATCCAAGTGGGGGGAGTAAGGAATTTTTGTATTCCTATACACTATTTGAAACTTTATTACCCTTAATGTTCATGTTTAGCTAATTACCTGGCATAAACAAGTTTTGTTTATAAATATATACAATCCACCTTAAAAGGCTCCCAAATCCATTATAGCCTTCAATCAAGGGATTTTGTTACACCCTTTTCCTTTTCTCTCTCCTCTCTCCCCTCTTCTCTCCATATTCTCTCTTTCTCCCCTCATCCGTCCAAATACTTACAAATTTATGTAAAGCGATCAGGTTTTCCTGACCAAAAAAAGTTCGTGCATCAAAGGGATCAGTTTCCCATGATCCTTTTTTGCTACCAGTTGTAAACACCTAGACAAGTTCGAATGTGAATGCCGAGGTACGAGCCACTTGTCACCCAAAACAATTAAATTGATTAATCAACCAATCGCCAAAGCATCAATCTAAATCGGTTCGCTCTAGTCAGATGCATTTCACTATAATACTCAACAACATGAATTTTAAGTTAATTAAAAGCATTTCAAAATCGATTATTGACAGATACATTAGATCGAAGAATATAAAGAGAGAAAAAAATTGATTACCAGAGCAAGGGTGCTGGTCCTTGAAAAGATATGAATTTTAAGTTCATTTTTATTTAAAACTTGAAAAGATATATTATTTTTAGTTAGTGCAACTATTAGAACTAATAAATTTTATTAAGTAATCATTGGCAGTTTTTGTTCTTTATTTCATTCTAGATTAACAATAATACAGACTTTGAGCCACAAAAAAAAAATATGAAATGAGAGAATTAAAAATGGCACCTTTTTTGTGTCGTGCATTCATATAGTGGTATGTAACTGTACATTATTTCTACCTCAGTTATATACAGCTTATCTGCATTATTTCTATCTAGTAATATATAACTACAATGCCATACCACTTAAAATAAAAATTTATACAATATGTATTTTAATATATTTTGTATCTGATTTATACATAGTAAAAATAAATTTCATACAACTAATTATATATTATACAATTTATCTACAACTTCACACATTATTTCAACCCAGTTAAACACAACTACAATAACATACAACTTAAATACAAATTTTATACAAAATTTACACAATATGTCTTTTGTATATTTTGAAACTGATTTATACATAGCAAAAATAAATTTCATACAACTAATTATATATTATACAACTTATCTACAATTTTCATGCATTATTTCTACTCCGTTATATACAACTAAAATATCATACAACTTAAATATAATTTTTATACAATGTTGTTCAACTTTTGTCACGACCCCAACCCCGATCGTGATGGCGCCCAACACACTGTTAGGCAAGCCCGACCAATTTAATAACCTTAGCCATTTTTATGCAGCTCATGAATTTAATTAACACAGTTAAATTACTAAGTCATAGTACTAGAAATCTGAAATAGAGTTAAAACATGCGAAATCCCAAATAACAATACTACTACACAGCCCGAGAATC